TTTAGAATATCCAAACAGTGACTGCCTGGGTTATAGGCCACGTGACCTTTACCAGTAGTAACCACTGACAACCAAGCGCTGCCATCACAGAGTTGTAAAGCATTCTGGGAAGTACTGTAGCGAACTGTTCCAGCGGTGCCCGATGTGCAGGTGTCAGCGGTGTCGCTAAACTTAATCGCTCCTTGATGTGGTATTCCGTCTTTTCCAGGCGAACCGCTCTCACCTTTTTCACCCTAAAAAAAGGAAAATAACAAGAGGAAGCAAACAGACAAAGAACGGAAAAATGGTGATTCCTTTAACTGAAAATGGCTTAATGATTTAGCGTATTGCTAGCAATTAGTCCGAATTGAAAACTTCATTAAGCATGGTTCAGTTTGTATTGTTCACTCCACCGAAAAGGAACCAGCGGCTTAGCTGCAATGTTTTCGGTCAGCGACATTTCTTCGGCATTCTGCGTCTAGTAAATCAGCGAGAGAACATTCGCCAGCCTTTATAATATGCATTAATAACATTAATTTCTTGTTAAAGTTCATCGCAGGAATTAATCTATGTAAATCTAGCTTTCTGTGTGCCTCTATTAATTTTTTTAAAAAAATTCTTCTAAGTCGTAGTTTTAAAACGAACCTTTACTCCGTCTCTCCCATCGCGTCCGTCACGGCCATCTTTTCCTTGAATCAAGAAGAAGAGAAGTCTAAAACTAACTTGTTAAAACTTAAAACCTGATTTTGTAGCTCTTCGTGGCTCGAGGTTTAAAGTCACAAACTACACGTGATGGAATTTAAGTTGTAAGAACAAAACTCCTCGATCGCAACAATTCCTTTTGAAATACTGTAATTTCCGCGGTTTCTCAATTGAGAAAATAAATTCTGGAAACTCAAATTTACAACTCTGTGGAGCGTAAATTGTGTCTTGCCAGGCTGAAAATATATTTGTTGACTAATTCCTCAGCAGCAGTTATGACAATAAATCCGTGTGTTTTCAAATTGAAGGATAGATGTTGCTGCCTTAAAAAGGGGTTTGAAGCGCAACAACGGGTTAGAAAACATATTTCTGCCTCAAACAGAATGAGATTATTTTATGCACTCACCATCACGACAGCAGGAAGACTGTCCGCACTGGTTTTGCCGTGTGCCGTTGCCAGAAACCTGAAAAGATTTACCGAAAAATCTTCAGATTAAATAACAGCTTTTTACCTTTACGCAGAATTCTAGAGTCGAAATTTTCGCGAGATCCTGGTGTTAACTGAAAGGACGAAAATAAATTCATCGACCCATGAACAAAAAAAAATTTTCGCGTCAACGCATTCGTAAGGTCTTGCCTTGTTTGAGCTTGCATAACACTCCAAGATAAAAACCGTAATGAGAAACAAAAATAAGCGGAACATTTTAAACTCCGTCTACTTTGCAAGACTTTCAACAAGAATGGCTCACCAGGACCAAGTATTATTTTTTTAGCGCTGGAAAATTGTTGAATTTTAATTCGAACGCGAAAAAACGGCAAGACGAAGTAGGCTATTTTGTTATGATAATTACACAAAGACATGTAAGTTAATTCGATAAAACAGCCACGATTCAAAACCAATGTTTCTTACATTGAAGCAAAAATTAAGTACGCGGATCTGATACCATTTTCTTTAACTATATTCGTTAGGTAGGTGACAGAATAAACAAAAAAATTATGCGACAAATTAATAACGAGATAGTCCACTGTTTAATTTACATTATTGTATAACAACAGGGTGATTCTAGCGTAACAAATTGTCACGTTTACACTTGGGGTCTGGGGAGAGTCAACGAGTTATAATCTTACAGGTGTTGAAAGGTCGTCCTAAGAAAGCACAAAAGCGCCTGCGACAATGCGGTTGTGTTAGTTTACCGCTGGCTGATCGAAGTTCCCAATTTTTTAGCAAGGTATCAAGGAAAAATAATGACAACGTGAATTCATTATTCCTTCTTCCTTCGCGCTGAAACACCATGAAATTTGTTCAAGCAACTGTTAACTACCAGTACCCATAATACCTTTTTCTGCAATGTGACGAACACTTTTTATGGTTCAGAAATGTTTTTCACTGCGTATGTTTTTTTAATAGTTTGAGATTATTCAAATTCAACACTAAAGGACAAACAATATAAACAGCAAACCTCTCCGCAAAGTTACAAAACTCAAGTCAAAATTCTCGCTAATCTCCTGGGTTAGCTTAATCGCTGAAGGACAACCTAACCTTTCTCGAAACGGCTGTTGGGGCAAATGAGCTAAAATAGGCAATTTTCACCTGGTTTCTTACAAGAAACGATCTCTTGTTTCTTATTATTTACAACATGTAACTCATGAATAAAAATATGGAGAAAATATAGTTTATTTATCTATCTAAATATTTATTACATATTTACTTATTTGTTTTTAAGGGACAGTGTGCCAGCTGATATCTCGTGTTTTAATACGTATAGCCCGTAGCAATAGCTTGTTAGAAAATAAGAAAAAGACGATAAAAGGTGTTGAAAGCAAAGAAATGCAACCTCAAAGGGAAAAATGTCACCTGAATGGCAATGAAGATTTTTTACATCCCGCCGCAAAATCAAACTTGATGAGCTATAATCCATTTTCGATCCTTGTAATCCTGCACTTCTTCCTTAAACTACTTGTTCTGTTTTGCTCTGTATAATATACCTCTTAGTCCAATTTATTTGCGTTTTAGTAGCATTTGACAATATCATGCACATCTGGAAACTACGGAAAACGTTTTATAATCAGCCCAGACACTATCCATTAAATTATACAACAATATGCTTAATTCCCCTACAATTAACAGTGATTAGCAATCAATCAATTGATCGGTAGATCAATCAGTCAATAAAACCAACACTTATCATGAACAGCTAAGTGAATTGGTTCACCCACGAACAAAACGTAACAGACACCAAAAAAAAAAAGTTTAGCTATATCTCAAAAAATATATTTTACAGTTAATTAAAATATATTCTTGCCTTCTTCCGGCGTAAAAAGTGAAAAAAAAAACAACACAAATATGGCAGTCAGACAAAGTAAAATTCGTAAAAAATATACTTTTTTAACACTCGTCTTTGCTTTTCATACAATATGATACAAATATTCAATTCTATATAAAAATATTTCAATCTTCAATAATTCAATTCTACGTAAAAAACATCTCTCTATGTTAAATGATATATATGCAACTTCTTTTCTGGCTCCAAAATGATCAGTCGGGATCAGCAAGCTTGAAAATTCGGACGTTCTTGTCTATGGATAAAGGGCTGAAACGAGAAATAAAAGGTGTTACAGAAAATTCTGAACCTTTCAGCCTCCGCGTTAAATCATCTTTTCTCCTGAAACGTAACAAGACACATTTTTTCTGCAACAGGTACTTTTGGGAGATCAGCAAAAAGGGTGGCTTAGAGCACAATTTCCGGCCCAATCCTCCACACGGAGACGAGAAAATGATGAGGACAGAAGTGAGACAACAACAACAACAACATAACAGTGTGATATACAATAGCAAGAGGACTAGACCACTTTAATGGCAAAGGAGTCACGCTTCCGAGAACGAGTTGCATGACAATCCAAAAGAGCGGTCGACGAGCTCGTCACGCAATCTCTTTTCGCTGACTTGCCATAATTTAAACTTTACATACGGCCTGACTTAACCGTTACATGATTTATTCTTCTGCATACCATTCTAATCGGTTGTGAAATCGAGGGTGGAACTTTATGTGGCCGCAAAACATTTCACACTAACCTCAAATCCTGTGGTGTCAAGAAAATAAACTGGCGCTTTCTCTGTGATGGCAACTCTGCAATATCCAACACCATTTTCATGATTACCTTTCTGTTACACAAGTCCTAAAACGTTGGACGAGATTGAAAAACAAAATAAGTCTGAGGTTAATACTCCTTAGTTTGTTGTATCCTGTACAAACTTCATTTAATACAGAAAACTTTCTCTCAGTTTTAATAAGACAACTGATGTATCTACCATTCGAACCTTAAATTAAACATAACATGGCAATAACTATATTTTCAACAATCGTGAATGAAACACATTTTCAGATTCTTTTCCCCCTCTCCAGTTCAACAGGACGATATGCCCCTTTTTTTTTCTTAAGACAAAAAAACTGAAATAAAAACCCAAACAAAACTAAAATAAAAATCTAATTAACCTTGACAGTTTTAGCTGGATTGCAATTAGAGAGAGCGGTTTTCTGTTCTCGTGAGTTTATTTTTCCGGTGAATAACCTATTCATTTCACTTGAACTGCAGACTACCTTTTCAGTCTTTGTAAAAAAAAAAAAAAAACAGGTGAATCGTGTTCTTGGTCAGAACACTTTACTCTCACTCTACTTACGAGAATATTTACTGAATATTCCATGCTTTAAAATCCGGGGGGAGTAGCAATACTCCTCCTGGTCACTTCATCCTAAGAAACCTAGAGTCGAGTGCATGCGCTGATGATGCTTCCGGCTCATCCGGGTTTGTGATTTGGACCGGACTTTTTAACCTTATAAAACCGAGGGTGACACTAACCATAAAAACATCAAACTCATCAAGACATCTAAAAGGTGACTCCATGGTGCCCCACAAGGCTGTCAGGAAAGAGATAGTAGACACTGATCTTTCACCGCCTGATAGCGACTTCATGACAGACGTACTTTCGTCAACACCTTTCTCCGAATACTCATCTTTTGGACCTTTGTGGACATTTACCTGCGGGGGACCGAAGGAAAGATGAAAATCAAAAACCTACGCTATATGAAATGCAGACGAAATTTCCCTGGAACACAAGCCCAAGCTAAGAACAAGTGGTTTGGTCGTCATTGAAGCTAGAAGTAAATTGCACTAGCCAACCTACTGCGCGTTATAAATTGATCAAGAAACTGTTATTTAACCACCTTATCTAATTTTAAAATTCAGCAAAATCTAAAAGTATGACAGATTCCTTTAATGTCTGTTCAGGACGTATTTTGATAGCAAGACCTCCACCTCATGGACATTGGATCGTGTAGCTGTTCTTGATGTTGTAATGGTGGCGAAGTCGAGATGGGCTCTCTCTCGTGCCCCCAAAAAGATTGAAGGTGGGAGAGGAGGGTTCCTGTAATATAAAGGTCAGCCTTTTCTTGTTGCAATAAACTAGGGAAAGGGGGCTTAATTATGGGGCAAAAAGGGGGCGGGCTTTGGCTTTTCGCCCCCTCCTCCCCCTTCGTGTTTATGGCAATACGGAATATTTCAACAATAACTCAGCCTTCTTGGCATACGCTCTTTGGGCTCGTCACGCAATCTTCCTCCCCCACGTGGGAGAGGAAGATTGCGTGACGAACCCAAAGAGCATCTGCGCAGGGGGCTACTAATAACCAGGAGCTCGACAATACCAGTACTGTACTTACGATGAGATTAAGAGTCTCTCTGCTGTGATCGAATGATATATATCCACTGTAACCCTTGCGACTCAAGTGGTTTGTAAAAAAATTGGAAGTATTCGACGCCAAGAACTTTCTTTTCTCTTTAAAATACTTTTGTCTCATCTCCATGGCGGTGTGAATTTTCTGCAATAAAGAAAGCAACTAAACACTTCAAAACAGACCGGGAGGTTGGATTTGAAAGTTCTTCACAGGATGTCAGCCGATGTTTTCATCAACTGATACTTGTTCTCCCCAGTAAATACACATGAAGCGAGATTGTGCCAAAAAAATAACTGTTACATGTAACAAAAGTGATATTTCCTCTCCGCAAGTGACGTTATAACCGTATTCTAACACCAGATACCAATGACTTACACCTCACAGTCTGATATTTTACCATACCTGACCTACGATGCTGATAAAGAACTCTAGTCCTGTTTGCATGAACAACTGATCATTAAATATGACACACTTATCACATCACCATCTGTTTCCAGTGCAACAACATGGCATGATATGGTATCCACGGCAACGCCACTGCTAACGACAGTCATTCACATAATCAGAAGGATATTCCAGAAGGAGCCTTTACCATTCCAATACACCGCTTGCTATCAATACCATGTTAGTAAACTCTTACTCAAGAACAACACAAAAAACAGAACGGCAAGGATCAGTCGACTTGTTTCATTCCTTGCTATCTCATACCTTGTTGTATTTCTTAATGTTGCTGTTGTTCTTTAAGATGGCTTCAAACTTCTCCTGAGTTTCTTGGAACTCTTTCATTATTTCTTCGAGATTCCCTCGACTGCAAAAAAAAAAATAAATAAATAAAAATAAATAAATAAATAAATAAATAAATAAATATAATATAAAAATAAAACTTACAGCGGAATCCCTATTTTTCGAACATCCCGATTATTCGAAGCAGTTTTTGGTCTTTTTGCACAAACATTCGGCGAAATTCACACTCGATTTTTCGAACCTAACGAATTTTCGATCTCATGTTTGTTCCCCTAAGTGGCAGTAAAAATCGACATTCCATTGTGTGAAACTCTTCATCACATGGATATGTTCTATGGTACCAAGTGTAATTTTGACCGACAAATTGTGACGCACGAAAAATAGCGAGTAGAGTTTACAACCCTTTGAGCTCCGACATCAGAATCAAAATTCTCTACACTTACCTATTGCCGCGCACTTAACCTTCTCTAAAATTAACTTTGGAAAACTATCCTTCCGAATTCAGGTTTTCCTAACACGATCGGAAACTCAATTCTTATCACTTATTTGCTCCTATTCATACACACAGGTTAAGAGAAATTATGATTGACGACCTACTTACTTCTTTTCCTCCTCCTGGACATATTTTTGTTTTTGAATAATTTCAGTCTCGAGGTCCTTCACACTCCGTGTTGTCTCCACTCTTTCAAAATGACGCATGGCAACCTCGGCCTTTTGCTGTGAAAGTCAAAATTTTAGACAATTATGCATAAAGTTTTGCTCTTTAAAGACAGTTGACAAGACATACAGTACATGCAACAATGAAAAAAATCCACTAGTAAACTCATTCTTATCGCACCACATCATCATTGTCCTAGTCGAGGCCACCAATATTATAAATATCGTCAAAGGCACCATGAGCAATTGCTGCCACAGAAGTCATCATCGACCTCTTCCTCTTCTTCTTTTTCTTTTTCCTCCTCCTCCTCCTCCGCCTCCGCCTCCACCACCACCGCCGCCGCCTCCTCCTGCTCCTGCTCCTCCTCCTGCACTTCTACCACCACCACTACCACCTCCTACTACTACTACTCACCCTCCTCCTCCCTCTTCTTCCTCTCCTTCCTCCTCCTCCTCCACTTCCAACACCACCTCCTGCTCGTCCACCATCTCCTCGTCCTACCTATTCCCCCTCTTCTTCTTCCTACTATTAGACCTCCTCCTCCTCCTTCTCATCATCATCATCATTTCGCACTATGCTTGTCTCCTGTAGTTTACCTTGGATAGTCTAGCAACTATCTTTATAGGCGACTATGGATCCAGACTTCCTGGTAACACCGAGTTACTGATGCCACTTTTACATTTTCACACCACCATTACTGTTATCATCTCCATCATCACTGAAACGAATTGAACTCTTAACAAATGTCTTACCTCTGTCAACTTGATGAGCCGATCCTGCTTTTTTTCGTTCTCGTCAATTTCCTGTTCTAATTTCCTGCGTTGTCTTTGATAGTGTTGCAGTTTGGCATTCTCCTCACCATTTATCGCCGTTAGTGACTCAAGCTCTTCCTAAATAAAAGTATGCAGATGACACAAGAAAAAAATATAATTTACCACTAATGCTACAAAAGTAATCGTCAGTATTCACAGGAAAAAGGATTTCCAAGATTTGAACTGAGTTCCCAACTTCAAAGAAAAGCCAATATTTGGTAAATACGGAAATCATACCCAGGACAGAGGCGCCAGCAACAACAATACGGGGAAGCATGGATCTCCAAGCTCCCTATTTTCTGAAAACGCAAGCGTGATACAATAATCATGAAGCCTTGATTCTTACTTTGAGAGGCTCTGCTTTTTCAAACACTTCACTAATCTTTCGTTCGTGGTCGTCATTTGTCCGTGTTTGATCTTCCATGAAAGTTGTGGCTTGCTGTAACTCCTGCTCTGCAGTCTGGGTCTGAAGGGAAAACAAAAATAGATTCCTGGAAAAGTACACGGGTGATAATAACATTCGGATTGCTGCATAAGTCAGTTCAACTATCAGGAATGACGATGGATAAATGTAAAATTCAGTGAAAACAACAATCTAGGCTTGCTTTCTTTTGAAATTGTGGAACCCTCCATAGGAAAAAGACTGGTACAGATGATTTGTAAGGCACTAAAACCTTTGCAACGCTCACTAAAATGTACAGAAAACCTTTTCAAATCCTCAAAACTAGCATTTTTAATGTATTTAGTACAGGGGCAAATATTGCAAACACAATCCATGCCTTGCGGACTGCGTTAGGTTCGCAAGGTATTGAGGTAACATATAGTCACAATCTTTTTCCCCGCCGAGGACTGCGATTACAGCGTTTTATGCTTTATAAAAAGTTGCAAAGAACTTTTAGGTAGGATTCAAAAAGCTTTTATTCCATAATCCGAGGAAGAACTACTGCTTTCGTGTAAATACCAACAAACCACAAGCCTCTCTTTACCTGCTCATCGAGATCCTCCAGGCGTTGTGTACAATGCTCTAAGTCCGTTTCCTGAAAATCAACAAGATTATTGTATAAAAAGGTTTAACTTGTCATGTTTAAATGCCATGTATCCATGTAAGTCACGAGATGCCTAGAAACCAAGCAGAAACGATGCCTCCTGGTCGTAAACATCCACATGCGCTATCTTTTCCTTTTCAGTTCAAACTTAATTTATTACGTTAGTAAGAACTGACAAAAGTTCAAATGAGGTCTGAAACTACTGTAAAATTGATGTAAAAATCTTTTAAAATCCGAGCTTTCGCCGATCTACGACATCATCACCATCTTAGTGTTTGCCACAAAAAAAAACAAAACAAAACAAAAATACTGTACATACCAATACTGTGATGTCAGGAGAAAGCTCTTCCTCTAAGCTTTCCATCAGTTCAGTTATTTCCTGCAAGTAATGACAACAAAAATAAACTATAAGAACACCTTGATAAGATGCATATGGAGCAGGATGGCACTGCACAAGCTGCACCCTTACTGTATCTTTTCCCTCAGAATAAAGCCTAGCAAATACGTCACAAGCAGATGGCAGACGGCAAAATAATAATACCAAGAGAAATATGGTTGAGTGAGAGTACGTAAGGGACTCCCTTATCACACCTATCCTCATCTCTACTAATTCACAAAGCTTCACATATCCTTATTAAATATTTATTCATTCAACGTGAATAAATAAATATTAACATGCATTCTAAAGCATGCATTGCTATCTTATCCTTCTTCAAGGTACTAGACAGAAATAACAGAGAGGCCCCTTTCTATGCCGCTATAAACAGTGATGTGTTAAATTCACAGTGCAGAAGGAACAGCACTAGGTGCAGTCAGCAAATGAAAGTAGCTGCACTGTGAAAGAGCACTATGCACAGCGCAGTATTACTTTGCACTATATCAACTTGATCACATGCATCTGCCCCAGCACTCCGTGGCGGGATGGGCAACCTTTGCCATGTAAAAATGTAAATGTCGCTTCTATCCAATATTTAAACCAGCCACCTTCATGTTGAAATGGCCCAAAAATATACAGACACAGATACTTTTGGACACGTGAGAACAGTATGACACGGCTCAAGAATTCTTAAAGATACCACTTATTCACTTAAGAGCTGGCTCTGGTTGTTCCAAATTAGGATAACGCTATTCACCAGATAAATCACGATCTAATGGATAGTGTAATTTGTTTTGTCATCACTTATCCACTGGATAAAGATGTATCCGTGGGATAACATTAACCATCCTTTGACCAACTGGGGCCTGGGTGGCATGAAGCACGATTTGAGTGAAGAGCCAATGATTTCTTGTAATATACTAAGGAAAGAAGTACCATTAAATTATCGTGCATTCTGTACTAACCAGTTTTAGGTTGTTTATGGAGGCTTGTAATCGCTTTTTCTCCTTACATGCTTCTTGTTGTTCAAGCTAGCAATCACAGTGAAACATATCAACTGATATACAAAATTAGAACCAATGACAACAATTCAATTACTGAGTGAATCTGCAGAGTGACAGACTATAGTTTGAAAAAATATGAGACATGCATAAGATCTTGGACGTAGGAAAATGAACTACACAACAGCTTTTCACTAAAAAAAATTGAAACCATTAATCAGAAAGAGTGCATCGCAACACGGTACTCACATTTCGTTGCTTCAATGCCTTTTCAAGGTCGCGTTTCTGTGCTGCAAGCTGATCACGCAGCTTTTTCTTCTCATCAATTTCTTTACTTAGGGCACTGAAATTTCACATTTGAAACATCAGTAACGTTTCTAAAACATGTCAATTTAAAGACAATTGACTTGATAAATAAATAACAATAAAAATTATAAACAAATATATTAATCAGTTTATGTAACACTAACCAATAAGCTCTTCAGGGCTAATGTTAACAAACAATAAAACAAATATAATTGTAAATGAACATAACACTCTTAAAAAGAGCAACTGGCAGGATACAGACCAGTTGGTCAATTAGAAGCTTAGCCGAGGAGTTGAGCTACGGACTACCGAGAATAAGATAAGCTAGTGCTCAGAAAAGGCCTAGGACTTGAACTCACATCTCATGGATTTCAATTCTTCGCCCTAACCACTTGGCCATGTCGAATAATGTTGCTGGTATTGGAAAGGCTAATTTAGCAGAAAGAGATAGTTTTAAGACAAACATTCCAAGATTACATTGAGGCAAACCATACCATTGCTAGATGACAAGGTCATCTTTTAGTCTATGGTTGTTTACCATGGACCCCAACATGCCTGAAATTTCAGTTAGAATTTTACCTGACCAAAACAAACCTTCCAAAAATATGGAAAATCAAAGGAAAACTTTTAAAAACGTTGGAACATCTTGAAAGATGATTGAAAATTTTAATCAGAAAATATAAACAGTTATCGACCAGTTTCAGATATTTTGCGCCAGTATCGACAAATGTGGCCTTACACAGTTACTCATAACCAGATGACATGCCAAATCTGATCCGGAATTTCTATTTGAGCCTTTGTGTACCATTGGCCTAAACTGTGAATTGCTTGGTTTCTCTGCATTGAAGGTAAACGACCCTTGATGTCTTGTTAACAACTTTTCTATGAAATCTGTTTTGTGAAACCAATCAAAACCTAAGAAAATGGTTGGGGTTGGTGATGCTGTCTTGACAACATAATGAATATTCTTATGTCAGGCCAAGGAGAATTTCTCATACCCTTATCAAAAAGTAATGGCAACGATATGCCACACATCAAATGTCACCTGTGAAACAGCGGAAGAAATCACAGGCATTCAAATGTGACTGACTGTACCATAGATATGGCCACTAAATAAAATACTAACCTTATATTGTCTGCAGAATTAGTTGATAAATAATTCTTAAAGTCTTTGTCTGGAGCAACTGACTTAACTGTTGGCGGTCCAATAAGCTGATCACCACTAGCAGAGAAGGCCTACAAGGACACACACTGGGATTAATAATAAATATTGACATGTGCACTTATCACTTTTACCTTTTAAAACATTGATTTTGTAGCTGTTAAAAAACCATTGTTATATATGCTAGCTAATTGCTGTCACTTTGAGATCCTTCGATGTAAAAGTAGCAGCTCCAGGAGTTATTGATTCAAGATATATTAAACAAATGCTGGAGCATAGATTCGATAACAGACGTAGCAAGGACATGATCTGCATGTCAGAAACCAATAAATATAAAAATGTAAAAATAATAAAAAACCTTCAATTACCCTTGGAAAGAGTTTAAAACCAAAGGCTAGTAGAGCCAAGCAATTATCAAGCACTTGAAAAGAAAGAGAAGTAGCAAAGTTCAATGGTGGAGAAGACCTACTTGCAATCTTAAAGACTGTCAACGGCTTTCTATGAAACTGGGACATCCACATCAAAATGCTGTTTTATAAATATGTTCTTGTATTTTTAAGCCTTGATGTAAGCTAATGGTAAGCTTTGTGGAAATCAAATATGGTTGATTTCCTAATTAAGTGCCCTAAAGTCAACACAAAATCAGGGCGTGTGATCAGCTTTCTATCTTGCAGTTTTACTGCCTACTGGGTGTTAATGTAAAAGGATATTGTCTTTTGTTTGTGTGATGTTCAGTTGTTTTCTTGTAAAACCATTACCGAAATTTTCCCAGCCCGTCTTGTTTGCAAGCCACATTTTTTGTAGCATGTCATCATGCCATTGACCATGAATGGTGTAGACTTAGGAGTGAAGTTGAAAGAAAAATACCCTGTTAGTAAATATACTTTACCTGTTTGGCTGGTGCATTCCTTGACCATATAACATCTGCAGCATGTGACCTACTTTCAATTAACAGTGTCCTTTCTATACGGAGCTAAAGAAAAGTATTTGGAGTATTTAAGATAATTCTTTTATCAACATGCAGCATCTATCTCACACATATAGCAAGCGCAAAATGTCCCCAGAAACTATGGAATGACAAAAAGTCGATAAACCATTCGCAATGGACATCATTTCAGACAAGGCATGCAAATTTAAAATAACAAGGAATCAAAACCATACCAGAAATAGCTTAAAGTCTACCAGATGAGGTATTTCATGCTGGTATCACCTACAGGGGTTATCACAAGAATTTATCTAGAGAGTCTCTTTCTAAGCCATGATTGTGCCCTCCAAAATAACAGTCAGATAAAAAGAGCACTTCAGTGAGGCACTAGGTGTTCATCTTTACCCTTTGAAACTGCATTGCGTATCCTATTATCTTTTCCTGGTTTTAAATTGTCTGAGTAAATACTTTGATCATTCCTCAAAGAACACTATTCAGAGGTAATTTATTAATTCGGTTGACATAAACAGTAACAAAAACAACTCACTTTCCAAATTGATGCAAGCTATAAAAACAAAAATTTGTTAATTTGCCTTAAACATTGAATATCGAGCTTCAAGTTGAGTCATTTCAGTTTCAAGTTGAGTCATTAAAGTTTCGAATGAAGAAAACAAAGAAAGAATTTGTCTAGTTATCTATTGCTTGTTGCTAGTGTTATGTCTTCAAGAAAAACATGATTTCCTAAAAGCAATCTCAGTGCCTTGACACTTGAAACACAAGCTTTGATTCTCTAAAGCATAGAGGGTAGAAGATAGAGGGTTGAAGATTGAGGATCGAGGATTGAGGATAGTTTTGAGTTGAGAGTGTTAACTTAAAATTGATCAGTACTGTACATTCATTACCTGGTCCATTAGACAATTTGCTATTACAGCATCGTCAATCTCTAGCATGTCCAAAATTGTTGGAAACTCACATTTGGGTTTCTTAAAAAAAATCAGATATAAAGATGTTATCACTAGCTGAAATACTATGCACAAGGAACTAGTAAATATTTTTCAATCTCTCAGTCATGTTGATGGCAATGAAAATAAAAAAAAAAAACTTAAACCAGCTACAAGCCAAACAAGGTCACTGAAGCACACAGTCACTTGAAACAAATTTGAAAGTTTGGTAACTAGTTAGCTACACAATTATTAAAGTACATGTAACAGTCAGTGTGTGTTCACCCTTGAACAAGAAGGAAAACTAATTTATTGATCCTGTGAAGAACCTGCTCGCAGGCTATAAGTCTGCATTTGGCTACAAAAAGAACACTAAATGATCATTGTTTCTTACATATTGTGTGTTATTTGGGTTTTAACAATTGACCTTGCGCATGATGTGAGAAAATTATGACAGCTTCAAATTCTATTTAAGAACTAAAATGACCTTAATTCTTTGTTAAAAACAAAATATATGAAGAAATGGGTCAAGGATAATCCCCAATAGTACAAATTTTCATTGAAGATGACCGCAGAAAAGCAGTTGGGTGACACTGGGTAAGTTATAAAATAACATATCATCACATATTTGACGAAAAAGCAGTCTTTATTCTCAGTCTGCGTTTAATACCTAGTTTGCAGTCTGCAGTCTGCATTTTGTACAGACTGAACAACTAAATGCCAGCACACCTTATACAACCAAAACAAACCTGGCATGAATAGGGTTAATATTTACTTACATGAGACGAGACATTATAAACAGTTTGCTGTAAATCAGAAGGAAAGAAAACATACTAAACAAAACTGTCCTGGCTATTTCAGACATGAACTGCTGCATAATGTTATTCCACTCAAAATAAGTATTTCAGTATGTCTAAAACTCAAAAGTTCAAACCTTGGTATCATTATGGTGTCAGTTATGTAATGTCTCAACTAGCCATTCTCTCCAGGGCATAAAAAACTCAAATAGATACGAGGTACGTGGTAATTATTACCAATTTCTGGCTGGGGGCTTAATTTCATTTTAAGTGGCATAAAGCAAGGGGTTCAAATCACTGCTGGATTATACCAAAAAATTACTTCACCTGAGTACCCATTTATAAACCTGGGTAGAAAAAGGCACTGTTATGTGAGAAAAAGGTGAATTGAATTGCTTAAGAATGCAATGACCCAGGTCACTGCGGGCTTAAACCCAGACCACTTAGTCCAATGTCTGACACAAAACCCATTGGCCACTACCCCCCCCGTCCCCCCCCCCCCCCCCCCCCCCCAAATGAAACTTGTAGTATTCCCAGTCACAAAATTAACTCCTTTTACCAAAGAGTCAAATTGGGCTGTGGGACATTAATATTGTAGTAGTTCACTCCACGTCAAATGGGATATGTTGGCAAAACTATACTCATTTCACAGTTGCCCATAGACTTCCTTGATATAACAAATAAAACTAGCATTTACCTGAAAGGGGCATATCACCACAACAGGGGAAAAGTTTGTAGTCTGAGTTATAATAGACTTGAGGACCTTCAGGTCTTTAAAATTAACCACACAGAATCCATAGCCAAACTTTTTTAGACACGATTCAATAGCCCTGGACCACTTTTCATCCTTTAGTTTTAAATGTAAGCCTGCATATGTCAAAATGGAATCATAGGATTAGTATCAGGGAAAAGAAAAAGGAAATAAATATAGGGTTCACTGAAGCATTTTCTTTGCCACAAGATCTGAGTAGTAGTCAAAAGGCCTGTTGCACTTTTCTGCACAAGTGCAGAAGCTTCAAGCTTTGGACTGCAGGTCCAATATTCAAAGTTGGCTTTGGTGAGGAAAATCCCTTTCCATCCATCTTGTGGGAACTGCAACACTTATGGTAGCAGTAACGATTTTCAAAAAATAATTTGTTACATATTGGTTTGGACAGCTTATTTTGTACTTTTGGGTAGAGATTAAATAGAAATGTTAATGTCCTCCAGGTGCATGAAGTGGCTAAAAGAAATGGACAATGTCAAGAAAATAAGGTTAAATCCCCAATTCAAAAGATTACACAGAAAACAAAAAAGGGAAACATCAAAATGACTAAAGGTGAAGCCATTTTCATTCAAAACATGACACTGGCTCCATGAATCTTAATATCAACCACTGCTTAAGATAAGTTTTGGAAAATACTTCAATCAATATTTTGTTCCGAACTGACACTTATGTTACCCAGAATTGAAAGGCCGCGTGCAAGAACGTCGCCTAGATTTTTTGGCCATTTTGAAAGTGTTCAAAAGTAGCTGAATTTTGGCATGAAGGCTTCGTTTTACCTGAGAAACATTGCTCTGAATTTTTTTTGGCTGGGGNTTCGCGCTAAAGTTCGCTTCGTTCTCGAGATATTGCGTTTGCAATAAACCACTCGGTTTTTCTAACCTGTGTGCCTTTTTTGCATACGTTATTTCTCGAGAACGAAAAGTAACCCAGCAAAAAAAACTTCAGAGCAATGTTTCTCAGGTGAAACGAAGCCCACATGCCAAAATTCAGCTAGTTTTAAGCACTTTCAAAAATGGCTGAAAAATCTAGGGGACGTTCTTGCATACGGCCTTTCAATTATATTTATTTGATCACCAACACATAATCTGACCTGCTATGTTAAACAAAATAAGAGAGTTATTCAGCAATACACCCTTTCAAGATTTCTAACCATCTACAAGCAATCTACTTATTACTGATCTTGCTTCAATATGTCTCTTACCAATGGGGCCTCTTGGTGGCTTGGTGAACCTTCCATCACTCACAGCTTTGCTTATGCGATCAAGCAAAGTAGGCATCCAGGCTCCGAACTGTAGAATCTTATTACTTTTTTGAAGCCTAACTCGTGTTACTTGTTTTTCCATTTTATAGATCTCATTGGTTACTTCGTCTTTCGTAGAACTGTTAAATTAAATGACAAAAAAATAAATAAATGTGTATGATAGGAAGCAATTATTAGGCCATTTCTGAGTTACTTTGTGCCTCTGTTTCAAATGAGTCCTCATGCAAAACCTTTCATATGAGAATGCATTAATGCATTGTATATGCAATTATTAAGCAACACGGCATGCAAAACCATTCCAGTACATGAAATATGTCTCCTAATTGTTGGACAATTAAGGTGGTAAGTGGTTATTTACCTTTTTAAGGGAATCATTTCATATAAAAAGAGTAATCAGTAATCTCCCTTCATGTACCCAATTTTTCCCCCATCTTCAGGTTACCCTGAGATTCTATGCAAAACATTCCACAATGATCACATACTTACTAAGATCCAATTGGCCTCTCTCTGGTTTGCATTTTAACAAGCCAGTAACAATGTGTCCAAGATACTTTAGGACTACACCATTACAGCCTATGGAATTTGTTTCAGGCAGAACTCAAGCAGAAGGAAAACAGAGCACATAAAGCAAGACATTTGGTTCATCAGGGCTCACATGCAAGGGATATTAGTCTATGCAAGCCAAACCCTTTCCAGGGTTTCACTCCCATCAAGCTGTGCCACTCCTGTTGGACCAGTTGGATCAGCAAACAATTTCATAGCCCATAGATTCCAGTAAAGAGTACGGCAAACAACCCTAGATGGTGTTTACCTCCGTCTGTGGCAGGAAACGTACTGGCAAGTACTAGCTACTCTGCAGTTCAAATTTCAACTTATTTCCACACTTTAAATTTGTTTGCATCTGTTAGCTTTAAGTTTCTTTGTGAGCTATCACTTTTTCCTTAAAAGTAAAAATCACTCTTCCATGTGACATTAATTTCAACACACATTATATATTCATTAGTTTATACCATAGTTTGCTGATACGATATTTATCCGTCTCCACTTCATTGTGTAGTTTAACAGCTTTGTTCATAACCTCCTCAAGATTGTTTTTACATTCTTCTAATTCGTTTCTTTTCTGTTGTAGCAAATGTTCTTTTTGACGCTGTTCTTCTTCAAAGTTTCTCATTTCCCTTGAGAAAACAAAACATAAATCCTTCAATTATCAAGTGGAAAACACTCAGTAAGTTGCAAAGGCTCTTGCTAAAATAAACTGAACAGAATGTGTTGTAAGCAGAAAATCGCAAGACCATATACATGCATCTCTGGATAAGGCTACAAAAAGTGAGCAGAATCCTAGCTAACACTAATGTTCTGCCACCCTTTTCTCTCTATAGAAGTATTCACGATTTCGGTACAAGTTAGAATGTATATCTAAGCCATTTCATTAGACTAAAAATCAAGTGTGATTGGTGTGGATCTTTCTAGCATTTATTACAACTCACACAGATGTTTTTATCTCTTCTATCTTTCCTTGAAGCACATTTTTTTCATTTATGGCTTCCTGTTTAGTGTGTTGCAGTCTTCTCAGAGTAGACTATAATGCAGAAAAAAAACTTCACTGAAACAAAAATTTTCAATTCTTACTCAAGGTACAATTAGGGTAATGCATGGCACCTACCACAAAAGGAGGTAGATAAAATAGCACACCAATCAACCAAACAACCATCACTGCAGATGACAAACTGAATTAAAGAAGGTTAACAAATACTTTGTAAAGTGGTGATTGGGTGCCTGAAACATCTGGGAGTTTCCACTGTTGGCAGCTTAATAGCTCTTACATATAGATGGAAACCATTCCCATGACTGGCTACTCCTGGCATTCCAGCCATGAACCCCCATGTAGAAGGGAGAAAAAAACAGGCACCCATCTACTACTTACTACTTATCCTTGTTGTGCCCTGCAGGACAGCTAAGGCAGCTGTCACACCTATAAAATAGTGGAAAGAGAGGGAGGGGAAACAGCCTCTCAGAGAAAGCCCCCACACTCAACAAAAAGTTAACGCTCAAGAAAAGACTGAGTAAATGCAAACTGCTAAAACTCCCTTTGGTCCAAGAACACATAGAATCCTGGCACAAACACATATCTAAACAGCACTGACTACAAAGACTTGTGCTCCTTATTGTTAACTCCATTGAATTGCATTTAACTATATGAAAACTCTCTTGTTATGGAAACACGAGTATGTGTAAGACGGAATACATCACACCAGGTGAATTTTAATTTCTTTCATAAAGAAAAAATAAACTAAAAGTCCTCTCCAATATACCTGTTTGTCTTTGACTGTCTTCTTCCTTTCTTGTAGTTCTGCAGCAATGTGTTGCTGCTCTGTGTTCAAGGACTCTGCTTCAGTTTGGACCTTGGTCATTTCACTCTCCACTGCTGCTACTTGCTGTTCAATGTCTGAAATTTTTTTCTTTAAACAAAAAGTTACAAACTGTGTTACCTTTTGATGTAGGGAGAACCAACAAGTTAAACATAGAACCAGTAATACCTCGCATTCTTGAATCTCCTTGTCAAACTTTGGAAGGCCAGACTTAAGTTTCACTACAACTCTACCTTGCATAGAAACCTCCTTAAAAATAAAATCAAATGTCGCATTAGGAAAAAGCATTCTACAACAATAGTAACTTGCACACATAACCATTAAAAATGAAAATGCCAATTTTACACGTGAACCATACAAGTCTCTGACCTTTTACATCTGACACAATAGGCCTTGGTTATTTTAAGTCCCTTAATGGTCAGCACTATATTAAACAACTAAATCCCAAACACCCCAGCAGTCTAACATCCATTAAGTAAGTACCACCACTAATTATTACTGCATTTCAACTTAGACAAGCAAAAACACAATCACCTGGCAGAAGGGAACAATACCAACTGAGAAATTCCAAATTTTAAGTGGTTTGCACCAATCAGTGTTTAGTGCAATACACTGTCATTGGTTCAATGAGGACAAATTATGACCTTCTCCATTCTAATGGGATTAGTTTAAGATTGTCTAAGTAGCCCTATTTACACTAGTGTCACAATGCAGACTAGTTATGATAGGAAGGTTTTACTGGGCAGAGTAATGGCCTTCTACCATTGCATGCCTCAGATATGCATAATTATCTACCCCATGAAAAGTCCTGTTTTGAAAGCTAGGCATGTAAAATTCCAAAGCTTGATCCACAGGACAAGAAACATTACGAGCTTGTCTTACTTGCATGGGGCAAATAACAACATATAGTGTTGCTTCGCTTTGACATCATCCATGTACTTTACCTTTTCATTCTTGATTACTTCTGCCCAAACACGCTCCTTTTTTAGTTCCTCAATCTGCTCTTTGATGTCACGAATTTGCTTAATAGCAATATACCTTGCTTCTAGTCTGCGCACTTGCTCACGCACTTCTGGAATAACCTTTAAGCCCAGAAAACAGAGAAGATTACAAATTAAATTTAATCTAGAGCAGTTAACAATCAGCTGTTAGTGTAATGGCAATGGGCATTTCTGAGTTACCGTTCTCCTCTGTGCCAAATCAAGTCTTCTTGACCAATAAAACAGTTGATTGAAACACATGGATAATTACCATTAAAGTTTGCATTTTTAGATCTGAGTTGTTTTTGTACTGTCACAACTGGCTGCTTCTGTCAGATTTTCATGACCTCACCTTTAATTTCTAAACCCACATAAGTTACATTATGTAATCACTCTACCCATGGTAACCAGGCAGATCCCATTACACCAGACACTGGGAATTCTATGGCTACTGTCACTGAACAATGTTACCCACTGTCACTGGGTTGTTAATATTGAAAATGATATGAAAAGCTGAAATAACCAAACCCAACCTCTAGATGTCCCTACCTAAGGGCATCTGAGCTAGGTCAAAGGTTCTCATGCAAAGCTAGCATGATCTAACAAGCAGGTGTAAGACCCTAGTTGGTGGTCTGGCAGGGTTTTCAACATGCAAGCTACTAAATTGAAGGTAGATGTCAAACCAATTGACCTAATCTGGCACTAAAAACAGCAACAAACTGCACCTTCTCTTTTCGTTGCAAAGTGGCTAAAGCAACTTCCTTATGCTCCATCACAATACCGTAATCAGTGCTTATTTGTTCAAGACTGGTTGCTTTCATGAAGAACTGCAAACAGAAGGAGGAAGATCAGCAGGGTTACAAAAGAATTGTATTAAGTTTACACAAACCAGAAAAAAACACATCATCAGGCAGTAAGTGCTCAGAGTAAAGCTACCCAAACCAGCAGTAAACATAGTCAAGTCAAGTTTTGAATACCACTTCATGACATTGCTGTGACGTGTGCGATATATTATGCAAATAGATTACAGCAAGAGCAAAAACTTGATGAAGCAGTGGGTGGTGGGGCCAGAGGGGTCATGCTTGCCCACAAACCCCTCAATTTTGAAAAATGCCCACTGGTTTTCACAGTTGATTCCAGTTATTGACTGACAACTTTGCCACTGAGCTAAAATCATAATAGAGCTACATGTGTCTACATCCTCATTTGGAGGGCAATGTTCGGCTTAATACCAGCTTTTCCTGTGGTTTAACTCTAACCGTTCATTAGCCTGACAGTCATTTCATTCTCTTGCTACCAAAAAAAAATATCTAGTGCTGAATTATAGAACCACTCAGAAATTGGAAGCCTTTGTTTGAAAATTGTCAATGCAAGTAAATTCACTTTTGCAGGGAAAGCAACAACCAGTTGCTGGCTTCTAAAATCTGGTCTTTCATTATCTGGACACGAAAAACAACTCAGTAAAGCTAAGCAAGGTTGCCAAATAAGTCTATCAAAGATTGGTTCTCCTTCCCTGGTTCCTGCTTGGTCTTTGCGCATGATCAATAATCAAAACAGCAGCTGAAAGATTTTAAAAGCTTTCACTGAATCTATCAGGTAATAGAGCCACCAAGTATTTAACCTCTAAAAGATGGTGTCTTCTAAGTAAAATCGAATACATACCAACGACATCAAGTGTAATAAATCTTTGCTGAGGCTAGCACACAATTTCACAAACCTTCGTCCATGACATTGTGCAAGTCACACTCGAGTTATTCCTGGAATCATTTAAGCGAACTTGAGAAACTTGTCAATCAAGATGACCACGCTGCACCAATCACGAGCCCCATTTGTAAGAGAACGGATTTTCCAAAATCAAGGGGTTTGTTGGCAAGCATTCCATCTCTCGCCAATATAGTATACATTTTTGAAGTCGTTCATTTTTCCATTTTAAAGCAATTTCTCTCAAAATGTCTACCTCCTTAATAGCTGCTGATGTCAATTCTTAAATAAGCTGACTAGTGGCTTTCAAATGGTATATTGTTCACAGGCAGAGTGTCTTTATTTGCCGATTTGGTAAAAACTGCTGTTCGCCTTAGGGGGTAAAGGGTTAAGGGCTACATTCATCTTTCTGTTTTTGTTCTATTGTTTTCTCAGCCAGTCCCATTAAGCCTTCTGAGAGGTACATAGCACCTTAAAGACAATGTTAAACATTGCAAGACAAACTGCAGAAGAAAATATATGTGCAAGGTGTCTTATTTACCATACCTTATAAAGATCTGATTCATCCTTGCTTTGAAGCAAATGCCTGCTTGTGTCTTGGTTTAATAAAGAAACTGGGTTGTCAACCTTGGGAAAGGAGTTCACAATAAAAGTAAACTTCTTGGCCTACAAAATAACATGTGGGTCACTCCATAAAGATATCAGTTGTCCAGTGGTTTGTAATGTTAACAGTCCACACCCACTAGCTTAAGCTGAGAGGCGTGGTGGTCTCATGGTTAGTGTGCTTGACTCTATTTGAGCAGTCTTTGTTTAAGCCCTGCTTGACACTTTACTCTCACAGTGCCTCTCTCCACCGAGATGTATAAATGGGTACCGACGAATCAATGCAAGGGGTAACCCTGTGATAGACTAACATCCTATCCAGGGGAGGGGGTAGAGGCACTCCTGGTCTTTTCTTGCCACAGATACCCGAGATAATCAGAGCTGGCCTGATGGACCACTAGGCTCATTTGCAGACTTTACTTCTACCTACCAGCTGAGAGTAGCAACACCCATGGAACCACATGTGCACGTGCCTGCTTAAGAGAGCTGCTTATTTCTATGTGAAACAATAAAGTTTATGCAATGCAAGGGCCGGAACTTAGTGACTGCTTAGGATGTATCATCTGTTAAGCTAATGAAAAGTGTTGACTTTCCTAGGTTACAATACAGAGCCCATAAATGTAAAAAGTAAGGGAGAATAAGAAGAAAAGGCCTTAAAATTCCAGGTGATAACCATAGTTTTAAGCAACTAATAACATAATTCAAACATGAATACTCTAACTGACCTACTGGTGATGAAAGGAAACACACCTGGATGTTAAATTGGTCAACTATTTGTTCCACTTGGATTCTCTGGGTTGAAACTACTTTTCCTGAAACAGAAATCAACAGAATATATGAACAGTTGTGGCAAGCAACTGGATTTATTATACCCAGTCATGTGTCTTGTATATGTTCCTAATTGTCCTCCTTCCTTACCTCAACTAATTGAAAATGAAAAAGGGATTGTACTTCCTTTTTAGGTGTGGGGGTTTTAAGGAACTACACGAAGGAAAATATCCATTGATCACTAAGTTATTGTAGAGCAAAACAATATATTGCTCTTAGGGATCTATAGCAGAGGCCAACCTTGTTAGTTCTGGACCCAGACCAGTTGGCTATTTACAATCATGACTGAGGAGTTGACCTATGGACTACAGAGAAACAACTCCAGCTTAGTGGTCAGAGCAGGACTTGAACCTGCAACCTCCAGATTTCAAGTCCAGTGCCCTAACCACTTGGCCACGCTGCCTTCTAATTTGACAAGGTGTAAAAGGATCCTTTTAGCACAAGGCCAGATACAAGAATAGCACAATACCTTCACAGAACTATCATTCTGCGGGTTTGACGCAGTGTCAAAAGAAAATTAGTTAAGAGTTTCTTCAGATGTTGGTTGTATTGGCAGCGTGGTAGTCAGAAGTGAACTTATGGTGATCTCAGTATCCTGTACTCATCAATGCAGCATATCACATGGTTCTCTAATGATTCACACATGCCAAATCCAGTAGTTTATCAAGATCATTTTTTTAAACCATTGAAGACACTATCACACTTCTCTGCTGTTAAAGTAACACATGGTCCAGCTATACATAATGCATGATATTCTTGCTGAGTTGCCCAATAACTAAATGCACACCAACATCATGCCCCCAACAGTTATCCCAGCATTATAAACTTTAGCATCCACCTGATGACCACCATCCTGAGCAGTTAAAAAGGTGAAAAGGTGTAGACCTAGGAAACACTACAAAGTGTGCTACAAGTTCCAGTCAGAGATCTGTGCTGAAGAGTACTACCAGCACAACTTGAAGAATTAAGGGTAGTTGTCTACAGTTGTTTGGAGGCAGATGTTATCAAGAGGACTTACAGCCCACATGTATTACTGTGACCTTAGTATAGATGAAAGATGGTCAAATGAATGGGAATTGATGTTAACAAGTTCAACTCCAGGAAAACCAAGTTTGCCAACCCAATTTCTAGAATTGTTGAGACACTAGAAGTCCTGCAGGGTGTAAAGTTGTTCTGCTCCCTGAAGCTGATTAGGTTTAACTGAGTGTAGGAGAAGCCAACAATACAAAGACTGCAGTGGCTGTATAAAACTTTTGTACTACCAAATGCACCTGCCACTTTTCAGCGCTGCATGAAAATATCTTATTAGACTTCTCTAAAGGTCTGCAGTCTCAGCCCATGGAATGTCCTGTTTTTCTGACCAACACACTCCAAGAATGGCTTCAGTGCCCCAAAACCTTTCTGATCAGACATTTCTTGACTTTACTGGACACCAACCTTCATTTCAGGGCATATGCAAATGTTGCTAGTAAGACCTTTGCACCAACTGGTGACCCAGCACTCAGGGAAACAGCCCTTGAGAAAAGCTCCACTGAAGAGGACCCCACCTGCCTCACTATTTTTTAAACTCTCTCAACAGCAATATGGCTTCAGTACAGGTCCTGGATTTCCCTGATTTCAGTTAACCATTTGCCCCCAACACTAATGCTTCTAGGGAGGTCCAAGATGGTTGGTCTCGAGTTGTTTCTGGAGTTGTTATAATAGTAGAACACTATGAAATGTAGAGCTAAAGTACTCGACTTTCTTCTCAAGTTCCTGTTCCTTAGACCATTACAAAACAAGGAACAACAGACCAGCAAAATAACTGTTTTTAATCCTTAATTAAGAACGTTAAAAAAGTATACATTTACCTTTCCTGGATTTGAGCTTGTATGATGATCCACCATCTGCAGTGATTCTCCTTTCAATGATTATGGAATCGCCATACTCACTGTGTTTGAATGCATCAGCACCTCTGTTGCGTAGCTGAACTGAGACTTGGCAAGATCTGTTGGAACAAAAGCCCATCAAAATGTTTCCTACAAAAAGAGTTATTTACGTATTAACACTGTGAATATCATCTTTAAATATTGGTTGCTATGATGGCAAACATTATGTGTGGGTTTCATACACTGAACTTTGGAGTAATACAAGAAGTGGGGGAGCTTACCATATAGTACATGGTGGAGAGGGGTCATTTCAACTGCTGTCAGTGGCAAATCAAATACACAGCAACATTCCATATTCCATGAAGGGGGCCGGCATGTAATCAACTTCACTGTGATTATCATCTGACAAGCACTACAATAACAGTAAATCACCTGCATCCTTTCTTTACAAAGTTCTTGATACTCAGCCCTCTACTGGTCTGAGAAGCTCTTCCACCCAATGCCACAACAAGACCTGTCATGATCGCACTTTTGCCACCTGAACACAATAAAGTAATTAGATTCATTTAGCACATGTATGTCAAATAAAGGAGCTTTAATAGACCTTTTTGGACTGGGCAGTTTGTTGCCCCATGTCATACCATGTGATGATACTCTTGAGAATTCTTCCTTTCAAATTTTCAAATAGTCGTTTGCATATGAATAAATAGTTTTTAGATGGTTAAAAGAACAATTCTCTAGAGAAAATCACATGGTCTGTAATGGGAAAACAAATTGCCCAAGCAAAATAGGTCTATTGTTCGTTAATGGAAGTCTTTGGTCTTGTCTGTTTGATTATTTGGCCAAAACACAAGGTTAAAGGTTTTGACATGTGTTTTAAAAGTTGCTAACAAAAATAACTTCTTTCAAGGACTTACTGCCATTCCTTCCAGTGATGAAGTTCACACGTGGTCCAAATGGAACACAAAGGTTACTATGGCAAAGAAAATTGTCCAGTGTCACACTCTCAATAATTCCTGGCAGTTCAGGCTCCTGTTAAAGGCAAAAACATGTTCTCTCAAAAAGTCAGTGGATACGGGGGTTGCTTTCTCAGGCAAGGTTGGCCAGTAGAAAAGTGCCTGGAAGGTGTACAAGGAAAGAAAGGTAGACAAATAATCTTCTGAAGTAAGGGGCATTTAGCATTTTAAGATTTCAGAACCTTCCCACCAAAAAAAACATATACGATATCAGTGTTTATCAGATGCCTATGAAGCATTTATTTAATGACAAAAGCTTCTAGCTTCTTGAGTGCTGGACGAACTTCCCAAGTGCATCCATAACTCGATATACACACAGCTAAAAGCATGAACCAATTCTTTTATAACATGGCGATAACAACTTGGGCATCAAAACATGTTTTATTTGTGATTGACTACAAAGTTCTCACAATGCACGGTGAAGGAGAACAAAGGTCATTAAGATCCTATCATGTCACAATCAGTTGAACAACAGTTAAGAACAAAAACGCTTAACCTGGTTTCTAAAATTGTCAATAAAAAATTTGCTTCTTCGAATTAATTAAAATGAAAAGGCAAGCAAACAAAGTCAAAAATAATCAATGAAAATGTAGACAAAGTCAAAATACTCGAGTTTAAGTAAACATCTTAGCTCGGCAAAAGTCAAAGGCTCAAAGTAGGGTTTGGTTTGATCAGAATAATCTTCACATTGCTGAAGCTTAAACAAAAGGAACTTGCACCAAACTCGACAGAAATTTTGCAGCTAAGTTAAAACTGCACAAGTCATGTTATATACACATGGCCGTATTATATAGAGATTTCGTTCATGATGGCTCAATAGGAATTAGGTAGGACTAGTGCACATGCTATATTATAATATTTACTTGTTCACACAGAATATCCATAATTGCAATTCTTGTTTTGTTTGAGTTTTCAGCTAAATTTTTATTTTTTACAGCTTAGGAGAGAAATAGAAAGGTGAACAAAATTTAAGATCATATACAAATGTTTCCTCAACAGTATCCAGCAGGCCCAGACTACTAGACAGTGCTAGTGGCCAGTGTTTACACAAAATAATTGAGAAGATCCCAGAAAGTACTTGACATGGGTATCAGGGACCTTTCGCTATTTATCACAGGCTAGATGGGTAAGAAATACTCAATGAAACCTCTCATAATTTTTTCATACCAAGTAAGGCTAATGTGGTATGTTTCCATGATTTTTGTATTCAAAGCTGATGCAAATCAAATGTGGTGGTGTGTTGATCAAAGGGGAGTAGATCGAGGAGGTGGACAAATTCACGTACCTCAGGAGCATTGTAAGTAAGAAGGGAAGTACTGATGAGGCCATCCAGGCATGCATTGAGAAGGCAGGGTAGGCATTTGTAATGTTGAGACAAATATGGCGGTCTACAGCACCGACAGCTAAGACCAAGTTGAGAGTCTTTGGGTCAAATGTGAAGGCTGTGCTCCTGCATGGTTCTAAAACTTGGTGGTTGACCGAGGGATTGAAGCAGAAGTTGCAAGTGTTCATCAATTAGAGCCTGAAGAACATCCTTCAGATCTGATGGCCTAGATGAATACACAGTGAGGAGCTTTGCAGACAAGTAGGGCAGTGACCGGTAGAGCAGGAAATGAGACAAAGAGATTGGGGTTGGTCTGGCCACATGCTGTTCAAAGAGACCAGATGGATACATAGCCAAGAGGGCCACAGAAAGGAACCCACAGGGGAGGTGCCAGAGAGGGAGACCCCAGCACACCTGGAGGCACACAAGAATGGCGGAGCTGGAGGAGAAACAGTTCACATGACAAGGAAGTGAAATGCGCTGCTCAAAATAGGGTCAGGTGGTGGGCACTAGTGGATGAGCTATGTTCCATCAGGAACAAAGAGGACTGAGTTGGTGAGCAATGAAAAATTTCATGATCACCCATTGAAATCTATGTCTCAAAACGGTAGGGTTTGCAGTTTAGGTAGACAAAAATGTCAGTGCGCTCCAATTTTTGTCACCATCACCCTCTCCAGTTAATGATGGATGGCTCCTTATTAACTGGGCAATCTGGGTTGAGCCCAGTTCCTAACTTGCTCAAGGATATTTATTTCTTTATTTCTCTCTGAACTCGCTGACAACAATGCCTCCTGAGACTTGTTAAGAGATTTGTGTGAAAAGCTGACGCGAGGAAGCTGGTCAGCTTGCAATCCTTAGTGGTTGGTACCCTGCCATGGATGGATATGAAGAGGAAGGGTGAAATGTGGAATGCACAAGCGGTTGATCAGTAGGGTGAAAAGTTGAGGAGAGGAATGTGTTGCAAGATTGTTCCTGTCTGGACATTGAACGACTTAAAGTTCCAAAAGTAACAAACACTCCAACTGTAACAATCCTTCCAAAGAAACAACAAAATTTCAAGGCTCTTGACAAATGTGAAGGTAGCAATCCTCCAAAACTATTGATGCTCTGAAAGTAGTAGATAAATATAGGTTTTTGTGGAGAAAAGAAAACTAGGAAACACAGAGAAAAACCATCATAGCAAGGATGAGAACCAGAAGATGAAAAACTCAGCCCACTTATGATATTGAGTGCAGGATTCAAACCAGTATAACATTGCTGGGTGGAAATTGCTCTCACCTCTGCACTACGCCTTCTCCCCTTAGCGGAGGGTGACAAAGGGGGATACCAATCATGCATCACGCTGAATTTTTCTATTAAGTCACACATCATGGAGCATTTTTTTCACCAATCACACGTCATGTAAAAGAAGTACAATGCGATTTTACTTGCTCAACCCTAAAAGCATCGTTAAAAAGAAAACTCTGCCTATTCATCTGAAGAAATGCATCGGCAAATATTCCAAACATTTTCCCCCAAAAATGACAATTATTGTCCAAAATAAAAGTGATGACCTGTATGGGAGACCGGGAGATTTGGTCTGTATCCAAGACTCCCAGATAATCTAGCCTGCGGAACAGGCGGATTAGCAGGACAGAGAGCGAAATGTGATACATGAGCACAGAGCCTGACCACAAGCGCAGAGCACGACCATAAGACAAAAAAAAATCTGCATGTAGTCACACCACTGTTTATGCTCTACTGCCCCCTCAAAATGATTGGCATGAAAGAATGTATAATATTTAACAAATGTATACATGATGCAAAACAGTCAACAGACTGGAACATCTAAATTTAGCTAAATTTAAATCACGGGGTGCCAGAACGAACAAAAGAGGTATAAACCTTAACGTCGAGCTCAGGAGACGAAAAGCTCAAACAGATTCAGGATGGAAGAAACATAACTTTGACAACACAGAACGGATCTCTAAGATTCTTGAAGTAACACTGCTGCAGTCTCTGGCAACGCCAGACAAAGCTAAATATGATCTGTGGTAACAAAGGCAACAAGCCACATAACTTGGGAGAGTTGGCACCGTCTGTGAACAGGCTCCTGCTGAGCACGAAAAAGGAGCAAGTGAAGTGAGCCTAATGGGGTGGGATTTTCCCCTCTCCAGTCCATTCCCGGCTATATCTGCAAGGCTGCAAATAACAGTCGGTCATTGGACAATTGTCCGGTAAATTTGGGGTTTTGACGGGTAAAAGCTTAGTCTGGCCAGACACTCTGACTGGGCATTTCTGCTAAATGAAAAATATTTTAACTATAAATTTGTGACTGAATATAAAACAAGTTATTTTATTATACTGCCACACAATACTACACAAAAAAGCTTTGTTATCAGTTTCGTTTTTATTCCATTTGTGAGAAATAATTCCATCACGCACAATGTGTCGTCTCAAATGTCATGTCGATTATTCAAGCTACATGTTAATCTACGCATTTTGCAGTGGTTTCGTGAAAGATTGTGAAGCCCCATTTAGTCTGAATTACGTTCGTCTGAAAAACTACAAAAATCTGAGTTCTTATGTTGTTCCTCGTAGTTTGATATCTGAAGCTCATAGTCCTTGTGCAAAGTTTAACTATTTTCTATTAATTTGATCCTATTGTGGCAAAATTGTTTGGACCTATTGATACCATGAAGATCCACGAAGATCAAACACATCAGAGGTCAAGAAAAGGACGAAAAAGACTGGAGCATGGTGTCAGGTCTTCCATGATTTATTAATCTTTTTCAACACTCTATTTACTATTTACTTTGAATGAATGGTATCCTTCTAGTGTAAAGAATGTTCACTTATCACAGAAATCTAATTGGTAAATCATGCATCACATGCTTGAAAAATAGCAAATCACGCATCACATTATGATGTCCTTTCCCCCGTTACATGGCCAATTTGGTCCCAATCAGGCATCACGAGGCTAATTTGGGGGTGACTATGCATCACGCAAAAACCCTTTGCCACCCTCTCAGAGCATGGCTTTCCTCACACCTCCTTATCATTTTTACCTTGAGTAATTTTTTCCTTGGTTTAAAATGCTGTTGCACTGGGCAGAGTTTCTTGCAACTTTGTTGAACCACAAAATGCATGAAAAATTTTTCAGTGTAGCATTCATTGGAACATTGACGTACATGATGCACAATCAACTTCTATTTTTAACATTTTTAACAACAATAATTGCTCAAACAAAAATGTTCCGAGACATGTTCATTTCAAGAGGTGTCAAGGTCCCATCTACTCTACAAGATAGAGATTCCCTTCTCTTTCTCCTTGGTGAGAGACTAGAAAGAACCAGTCTACTGTGCAAACACAAATGGGTCACAATGTTGCATTTGCATGCAAAGTATTTACATGCAATCAAATTTTGCTACTACTTGTATAATTTATACTTGAATTCTGACCACCTTTTATTTTGTAGAGAAACTGCAGTCCCACAAAGTGACGAGCTACAAAGAAACAGATAAATTAACCCAAAATTGGCTTTATTCAAGATAAAGATGACAAGTGCTTGAATTGCAAACTGCAAGCTAGATGCAGATAAACAAACTGTTGTAGAATAATTAAAAGCTATCAAGCCTCACGACATATTCTTTTGACAATGAATAGCTCATTATAATGAATTGATGTAAAGCTAAAGATTCTGGAATGATTCAAACAGGAAAACACCAAAGGTTGCCGGTTATTTATTGGTCAAAAGCTTTGACCTTGACAAGTTTCTATGTGACGAAACCAATGTCTCTTTGTCTGTGCGTCAGTGCAGTGTTGCCATTGGTATTTTTAAAAATAGGTCCGCAATGCGAACTTGTGTAGGATTTCAGTCAAATAAGAGTTGAC